TGAATTATGGAAGGCCATGCTTAGGGTTTTGCACCGTGCCATTGCCTCGCAAGGGGAGACTGCTTCATCATCAGCCGGAACTGTTGAAGCTGCAGGGGGTTCGGCATGTCCCTCCAGCTCCATGCTATGCTCGCGAGGCGGAGATGGAGCCATCTGCTCAATCAAGCTGTCGAGGCTGGCTTCGGGATCTGGCACATAGGTATCCTCCTGGTCGGGGTTCTTCGAAGGCATACCTCAGCAACCGCACAAACGTGAAATCACACCCTCGTTGCATTTGGATTGAGCATACCACATGTGTAAACATATATGCATGTACATGTATACGTGTCTGCTTGGAGTAAAGCTTACAAGTACGTCCAACCTATGAACTGCCCTAGTTCCTATATTCTTGAACCCAAGAACTAACGAATGCATATGTTTATGCTATTGTATGTTTGTATATATATATATATGTATGTATGCATAACATGCATATATACATATCTGCTCTGATATGAGTAGCATTCCATAAAGATACTGAATTATATGGGTATCACACGAACTGCATATGTATATATATATATGTACATATGCATGTAAGTATGTATGTGTGTCTGTATGTATGTAGGCATGCATGCTAGTATGTAGGTATATAGGTGTGTGGGTTTGAGCAAATACCATTATCTATAGTTGGTCTGATCAGACTTACAGGGGCAACTTAACTCTGGGACATCCAAGGATCATCATCATTGCTCTAACCATGCCACAAGCTATAACCCTATAGCAACTACAAGCTGAGGCATAATGGATAGAACCAATGGCAACTTTGCTTAGATCCACACCTTCATGGGTTTGTAGGACAAGGCAGCCCAAGGTACCCACGAAATGGTATGTAACTCAATACATAACTGGAACTACAGACAATCTCAACCCAGCTAGGATACGATCTCCATAGTACAGCGTCTGTGCAGGTGATGGAGATACAAAGCTTGCATAGCCTTCGCCAAGGCGGCCCTCATGTGCCGCAGCTGCTGCGGCCGGCAAAGCGGCACAAAGCCCAGGCAGAATCCTGTAGGGGTGTTGGGCTGCGGAGGTTTTCAGGATATTAGTTAAATAGCTATATTACCACTCAGTTAGGTCTGATTGTACATTGCAACAACCTTTAAATCTACATATAGAACTTGAAAGACAGATTTTGGCAACACCCCACACGCTGGTCAAGCCAGTTACCGGAGCATGCTCGGGGCCCAAAGCATTGATCTTGGCTTTGCAAGCCTGCAAGAACCTGGCCTTCTGCTCTTGCGTAAGTCGTGGTGACAGATCAGCATTCCAGGTCTTAGGAATATGTGGGCGACGTTTAAGCGCGGATGGCCTTGATGACGATGGGGCTTCATCAGGGCTAGACTCAATCGTGCACACTTGCGACTCATCCGGGGTCTCATCCAGAGCTAGCAAGCTTGGCTGTGACAAGGACTCAGCACTCGCAGAAACCACCTGAAACTCATCCGGACTTTGAAGAGTTTGCTCATCTTCCCAAGTCTCCGAAGTAGTATGAGCAAGGCGATATCCTACGGCAGCACTGTCCATATGAATCTTTTCCTCCCTAGTCATACTTGACCGACGCAAAGCCACAGATGCCTCCCCTTCCATAGCCAGTGAAGCCTCCCTTTCCATAGCCTCGGGTGAAGCCTCCCTTACCATAGCCAGTGAAGCCTCCCCTTCCATAGCCAGCGAAGCCTCCCCTTCCATAGCCAGTGAAGCCTCCCCTTCCATAGCCAGTGAAGCCTCCCCTTCCATAGCCTTGGGTGAAGCCTCACCTTCCATAGCCTCGGGTGCAGCATCCCCCTCAAACATCTGATCAGGATCATAGTCATCGGTCTCCAAGCCAGCACCATCGTCATCTTCGGCCTCGCAGTCTTCCTCCGGAGCGGCATCGAGAGGCTCAGGACCGTTTTCTGCATTCCAGGCGGCCTGCTTGGGTGGATGCTTCTTAGCTTCGGGAACAACAAGATAGCACACACACACACACACACAACAAACAAAGAGGCAGAGTTTCAACAGATTTCTGCCTTCTGTCTCTCCTTCACATCAACAAGCAAGTCCCAGAGCTGCTTGACCTTGTCATCCTGGGTGATTTGTTGCTGGTGGGATGGGCCTACGTAGCTCTCACAGACTAAGCATATATAGCTCATACGGTTTCATAATTGGCTTCACTTACGATTAGCTTACATAAAAAAGGGTCGAGAATGTTTAAATGTTCTACTACAGCTTGCTCAAGAATATAAAAGCCTGAAGAACTTACACACTCAGTCCACAGCAGCCTACATGCTGGCAGGGTTGGGATATGTAGTTAATTGTTCTGAAGCCGGGATTCTCGGGGTGATTCCCCACGCATGACCTTGGGACGTAGGATGGTGAACATCTTGTGTACGACCCAGGCATCCTTGAAAGCCCAAACCACTTTGTCAAAGTCTTGGATCTCCTTGAAATAGGCCTCATGCTTGCCATACCACCCTGCAAACATCTTTGCAAGCATTTCCGCAGGGTCCGAACTGAGACGTCGCCGAAGGTTCATCTTTAAAGCAATCTCCTTCAACACCAGGAAATTGTAATTGATGTTCTGAAGATTCGGCAACAGACTTGGAGCCCCATTGGCAGGTTGCATAAGCCTCTTACCAAAAGCGGCCCTGCGATGCAGGTCAGGATGGAAGTCCCAGAGTTCAGCCATTTGCTTACACTCATCGTCGGAACATGGCGGGCCATCGGGATAAACTTTGCGAGGCATCCTACACGTGCCTAGCAGGTCCTAGAACCCCTGAATGCATTGACCTGGTTTCCCAATGCACTTCCCAGCACAAAAGCTGTCATAAGCCACAACACGGAATTCGCAATCACAATCAATGCAAGAGCAGAACTGACAAGTAGAAAACTTCGAGGGCAGTCCCAAAGCTCAAGCAGTCGAACCCTTTTATACCCAATAAAACCCAGGGGTGGGCGCACCGACTGTCCACCGGAGGACATTCTGCTGGAAGCCAGAGTCCACTGGCTGCCGTCTCCAACATCTCGATCATTCGGCCGTCGATAGAGTGGTTAGCATAAGTCGGATTGTTTGGGTTCATCGGTATCCATAGTCAGCACATCAATAAATATTGGGTGCTGCATATAAGCATACACACATATATATATATAGCTATAACCGTATCTATTTGCTTAATCCATCGATCAAGATTAAGTGGGGCCTCCGAAGGCTTCTTTCTTGGACCAGCAGCAGTCGGAACCTGCATGGAAACGGGTTTTGGAGTGAATCCCCCCTGAAACTAAGCGTTATGGGTGTTTCTAAGCGGGCTCAGAAAACCGTCAGCGTAGGCGGGTCCAGGTATGCCTTAAATAAGGGGTATTGGAGTCTTCTGGGACCCTCAGGGTTTAGGGTTTGGGGGTTTAGGGCTGAGGGTTTAGGGGTTTAGGGTTTAGGGGTTTAGGGGTTTAGGGGTTTAGGGGTTTAGGGTTTAGAGCTTTAGGGTTTAGGTTTTGGGGTTTAGGGCTGAGGGCTTAGGGTTTAGGGTTCAGGGTGTAGGGCTTGCTGGGGTCTTGCTAAGGACTTCAGTTTAAGTTACCATAATAGGGATCTACAGTAAATTTTATGGTTTCCTTCTTATGGTAACTTGTCTGAAATCCCGTAACGAGAACCCAGCTCAGGGGGTAAGGGGCAGGGATTATCCCTCCGTGATTATGGGCGTTATTAGACCTTAAGGTCTTGGCTCCGCTGCTTTCGGGGACTTAGAACGTTTTTGTCAGGGTTTCAGGGTTTCAGGGTTTATTGTTTAAAGGTTCAGGGTTTAAGGGTTTTAGGGCTCGAGGATTTTGGGGTCTAAGGGTTTACGGGTCTAACGATTTAATAGGTTGAAGGGTTGAGGGATTACCGCTTTGTGCTTAGAGTTTCGGGTTTTGGCGTTCAGGAGACTTTTGGTTAAAATGCTCATCTGCAGCTCCTGGGCGGCTTAGGGTTTAGGGCTCCAGATTTCGGGCCTCCTTGAATAGGAAAAAACGTGCCGGAGTTGGGGTCGTGAGCCCGAAGCCGGTAATTCTGATTCGTCTAAGGCTGGGACTTCGAAGCGAGCTCCAATCTTCTAGAGACAGTGCGTGTTACATGTAGAGTTTAGGGTTTAGAGTTTAGGGGTTTAGGGTTTAGAGTTTAGGGGTTTAGGGTTTAGAGTTTAGGCGTTTAGGGGTTTAGGGGTTTAGGGTTTAGGGTTTAGGAAACCCTAACTTTCACATCCCAAGCAGCAGCAGTAGCAGCAGTCGCGCTCCAGCCCTCCCGAACCCGAGCTCCCGAAGCGTTGTTTGCACCCTAGACGCGAAAGCCTAAACGAACAGATTCGAGGTTTAGGGTTCATGGTTCAGGGTTCATGCTTGTAACAAACCTAGACCCTAAGCCCTAAATACTAAATCCTAAACCGGAAACCATCAGCCCTCAACCCGAACCCTCAACCTAAACCGTCAACCCCAATCCCTAACATAAAGCCCTTAAATCCGAATCCCCCAACACCTAAAGCTTAGATCCTATATCCTGAACCCTCTGACCGAAAGCTTAAATTCCAAATTCGAGACCCCTCAAACCCAAAGCCCTGAAAAGCCCCGAAGGCTTTAGATCCCCTTGAAACAATCCCGAAAGGATCCCTTACAGGAGTCCCAAACCCTATTAAAGTTATTAAGGCCCCTGCGCGAAACCCCCCATAATGCCCTTTATATAATAATCCTTATAGACCCCTTTAAGAGGAACCCCCACAGGAACCTTATTCTAGCTATTTAGGTTCCCCAGCCTTAAGCCCTGAAAGTCTTTTGAACCAAGGCAGATGACCCCTAAACCCTAAACCCTAAGCCCAATCTTAAACCCTAAGCCCTTAAACCGTAAGCCCTAAACCCTAAAACCCTAAACCCTCAACCCTAAGCTTTAAACATTAGATCTTAAACCCTAGAATTAAACCCTAAAACCCTAAACCCTAAAAGTTCTCTAAGCCGAGGCAGATGGGCCAACTCGAGCTGAGCCTGATCCGGGCCGACGAGTTTCTCCAGGAAGCGGAGCCGAACTTTGCAAGGCACCGGCGCGGAGTTTTTGGGGTGTAGGGGTTTAGGATTTAAGGGTTTAGGGTTTAAGGGGTTGAGGGTCTTGGCTTAAGGGTTTAGGGTTAAGGGTTCAGGGATGTAGGGGTTTAGGGTTTGGCGTTTAGGATTTGGGGTTTAGGGTTGTGGTTTGTTTAGGGTTTAGGGCTTAGGCTCAGATTTAGGGTTGAGGGTTTAATGGGTTTAGGGAGTGTAGTAGTTTAGGGATGAGGGTTTATACCCTGAGTAATTACCTCAAACCCCAAATACTGTCACAGCATGCTCCGAAATCAAGAGCTATTGAATATGTTTTGGGTTCGACATTTTGGACTTGAGAGTTTTGCTTGTTTCAGGTTGTGGGGTATATTATACTGTTATGCTGTTCAAAGGAACCCCCAAAATCGTATTGGTAATCAATAGGGGTTAGGGTGTAGGGTCGCCTGTGGGAGCCTAGTTTCCTTGTCCCTTCTTCGGTACGGTGGATTCAGGATGTAGGCTCGATGCTAGAGACTCCAATATCCTTTAATCAAGGAATATACCTTAAATCATAGTAGGATCCCTAATGTGATTCAAGGAATATTCCTTAATTAAGGGATATTGGAGTCTCTAAAAATGCTGGATTCAGGAGTTAGGCTCGATGCTTCGGGATCATGGGACTTAATAACTGGGGTTATAAATAAGGTAACAATACTTATAATGACTTATAACCCCAATTAAGGTACTTTAACCTTACTTACTAAGTCCCATGATCCTCCAAGTAAACCCAACCTTAACACCACCCAAAAAAACCCTATCATTTTTAGGGACCCTTGTTCTGGTTTCATTGTATAAAGTCTTAACAAGGTAGGATATTCAGGGTTGAGGTAATTCGTTAAATCCAAAACCCAAGACCTTAAATTCTAAACCCTGAAACACTGCACCCAGGGTTGGGTAGTCGAGGGTTAATGGTTTAGGGCCTAGGGGTTTGGGTTTAGGGTGCTCGGTCGGGATTGTGGGAGCCACCGTAGGTTTTATGATCTTATTAGTTTCTTTTTCATGCGCAAGGTTGGTGGTTTTAGGGTTTAGGGCAGAGTTATTCGGTTTGAGATGAACGTAGGGTGTGTAGGATACGGGTTTTTGGGTGTGAGGGTTGACTCAGGCTCTTTGGGCTCTTTACCCACACATTCCGAAGCTGTGCCCGAATCTTTCAGGGCTTAGCATGTAGTGAGGGACCCAAAAAGCACATACGCATAAGCATCTTATCGTGATATCCCGACCCCACTGGGCTTCGTTATAACGGGGTTTGTATGGGATCTCCCTATCCTAATTTTTGCTTATGTGCTTTCTTGGGGCACTATGTAGGGTTTCTCATCTACGCAGCCTTACTGTAAACCCGAAACTCAGGACCCTAGGCCGGAAGCGAGCTGTCTGGGGGCGAGGCTAGGAGCATGAGTAGCCACAGATATGGGTAGTTGTCCAACTTATGGTTCCCTTTTTGGGTATCCGAAAAAAAAAGGTGCCGTATTACAACAAGGACCCAAAAAGGGACCATAATTTTGACAACAACCCATATCAGTCTGGGAGTGTCCGAAGATTAGGGGTACCTTATTTTGGGGTCCTTATAATAAGGATCCCAGTATCTAGGGTACGATATTAGGGTCCCCTATTTTCGGAAACTCCCATATTAGTGTAGACCCCCAAAGTAGAAGAGCTTTACTACAAAGGACCCAATTCTGGGGCTCAACAAGTTTCGGAATCCTCTCCTGATGCCCGTAGTATGCTCCGGAAAATTGTGGGTCTGGGGTTTTCGGGCTTAGATTAGGAGTCGTGAGCATGCCGTCTAGGGGAGGTTGCTTGGGGCTCTTTCTTAGCTGGTTTTTGTTTGGAGTGCTCGATCTTCAGTGCGAGAGGGCGAAGCACGAGCATTTTCGATGAGGACAATATAGGGGCTTGAATAAATGAATAAATACCACTACTATTTTGGGGCTTCCTGTTAGCCAGCTATGCATAGCATACCTCTTAACCCTACTCTAACTACTCAGGCCCCTAAATGAATTCTTATGACATTTATGACATCTTATGACGGTTATGACATGCTGATCTACGGAGCTCCCCAATCCGAGGTGCCCAAAAGCGCTTGACCCTCAGACCCCCGAACCCACAACCTGCGAGCTTGTGAAGGTACTATGCCGTCCTGAAGTCCGAGCTGCGAATTCTCCTCTTGCGGATTGTGTTGGTTGGTTGCTGTGTGACTTGGAAGAAGGGTTTCGTGTGTCGACTGTAGTACAGTGGCTTGAATACTTTCAAACGGCATTCCTAGGGCTTCGTAAGTCTAGTATATAATGCTGTGTGACTTGGTCGTTGTTCAGGAAAGCTGTGCCTTCAGCGTCGTCGGTTTAGAGTTTAGGGTTTACGGGCATGGTCCAGCTCACAACTGAGGTGAACTGTTCGAAATTAGAGATTCAGTCCACGATGTTTGCCCTAACTCGGGCTGGGAAGCGAACTGGCTTACGGAAAGCAGATGCAGAAGAACTGCTGAGCCTGGCCGTGGCGCATTTCACTTCCCTGTTTGCTCTGCATGTGGCCCTGGCCAGTGTCCTGGACCTGAGGGCAGGCATCAAGAAAGCTAGAAGGCTACAAGAGGAGAAGCAGACAGCTATCATCGCCGAAATTCGCTGGCTGTTTCGTTTTGTCTACGGCTGCGTGGCCTTTTGTGTCGTCACACAGTGCCATTGTGTGGCTAAGCTCATTGCTGCTTTTGTTTGCGAGGACTCAGTTTGGGATTTACCCATGCACTGCGTCGACCTTCATTCTACTGCTCCAAAGTCGTGACAAGCATGCGGAACCGCATGCTTTGCCATGTGAGCAACTAAACAGACCGCCGCGGCGGGCCGGGTCCTGATGAAGAAGAGGCTCAAAAATCAAGTTTCCTTCAGGATCCCCCGATTGAAAGTATCTCACCTGGAGTTAGCTTGTTTCCCCCTAAACCCTAAACCCCAAGGCCTTAGGGGGTACCTTATTTCGGGGTCCTTATAATGAGGATCCTACTATTTGAGGTATAATATTAGGGTCCCCTATTTTCGGAATCCCCCAAATGAAGTCATGCGAGGCAGCGTCCAGACAAGGCTTTCGTTGCAACAGTAAAGGGGTGTCATGGAGGCTGTTTCGGCGTTCTCGTTCCAGGGATCGTATGACATCGAGGCTTCTACATGTGGGCCCCTTATGTTCTGAAGCCATCACCTGAGCCGTCACCTGTCCCCTGTCCTCCGGCGGTCCTAAACCCGAAACCCTAAAAACCCTCCCACCTGTCTCCTGTTCCTCTGGCGGTGCTGGCCCAAGAGAGCCCTGAAGCGGATCAGCCATTGTGAGCACAGCAATGGCGAGGACCCAGTGATTTCACGCGGGCAGTTCTTTAAATTAAGGTACCTTCTAGGGTCCTTCCTTTAAGGGTGCCGTACTGTTTTGGGGACCTAAAAAAGAGGCTCCTAACTTGGAGAAGTACCCACTGATTGACATGGAGGTTTCTCAATCTTTGGGTTCCGTTGTTCGGGGTTCTTACAGTACGGACCACGCAATTTAGGGTTCACACTGGGTCCTTTGTTCCTTAAACCTTAAACCAAAACCCTAACCCTATCCCTCCAAGGACCTCATAGTTAGGGCCCTAGACCCCTTAAGGACCCCATAATAAGGTCCCAGGAGGCATAGGGTAAACCTTTAAAACTTTAGACCAAAACGCCAAACCCTAAATTCTCTTGTTTCTGAAGCTCCCAAATTGGAAACCTTCGCCATCAAACGTTGGCACTCCGAGCGTGGCATTCTCAGCGACACAAGCCTTCCTCGGACAACGCTCCTGGATGCCAGTGCGAGCATCGGTATGTATGTATATATACATATATACGTATAATATGCATGTATGTATGTGTATATATATATATATACACATCTATCTGGATGCGCGCTTCCCCCTGAAGTTGCCTTGAGTTTATCTACTCTGAAGCTGAACAGCCCTGCGCCTTGAACCCCTAGCTGCCGCACCATCGGTGCCTCTAGATGGGAGTTTCCGAAACTTAGGGGTACCTTGTTTCGGGGTCGTTATCCACTATTCAGGGTACTATTTTGGGCTCCCCTATCTTCGGAAACTCAGATATGGGGCGGAATTCCCTCATGGTAGCTTTATGACTATACAGGAATAAGCCTCCAAAACACTATTCTAATCGTCAAGGCCCCTGTGCTGAACCCTGGTAGTTACCCTTCTAGCAACCGTTATAGAACCCTTACAGAAACCCTTCAAGGCACCCTATTATGAAAGCTCTGATGCCCCTCAACCCTAAACCCTGAACCCTGAACCCTAACCCCTGAACCTTAAACCCAGAGACTCCACTGGCCCTTAATTAAGGAATATACCTTACATAAATTATATAGTAGGGTCCCTAATATGATCTAAGGAATATTCCTTAATTAAGGGATATTGGAGTCTCTGGGAAGGAACCCTTACAAAACCCCTTCAAGAAGGAACCCTATTAAGGTAATGCAGGATTCATGTCATCAACCGAAGGAACAAGAAGCCCTAAACCCAGAAGCCACAAACCCAGAAGCCCTAAACCCCTAAACCCTCAACCCTACACCCTAAACCCTAAACCCGGAAGCCCTGAACTCAACAGTCGGAAGGAACAAGAATATTCCTCAAATCATATAAGAAATCCTATTACAATTTATAATATTCCTTAATTAAGGGATATTGGAGTCTCTGGGAAGGAACAAACCTCGGTGGATCCCAATTATAAGGAACCCTATAGACCCCATTAAGGAACCCTTACAGATCCCTCTTTACTTACAGTCGGAAGGAAGGTTAAAAGTAGGTTATAATTTGGATAACCACACTTAGGGGACTTATAAGCCCAATTCTAAGTATTGGAGTCTCTGGGAAGGAACAAGAAGCCCTAAACCCAGAAGCCACAAACCCAGAAGCCCTAAACCCCTAAACCCTCAACCCTACACCCTAAACCCTAAACCCCTGAGCCCTGGTCCCCACAGTCGGAAGGAACAAGAAGCAAGAGATCGCCCAGCTCCGGCGAGAACTCGCAGGCGAGCGCCTGGTGCCTCTCACGCGCCTTGCGGGTGACAGTGGCACCGACACTCGGCCTGGCTTAAAAAAATACCTGGACCCTAAGGAACCTACCTGTTTAGGGTTCCCTAACATGATTTCTTTATATAAGTCCGTAAAAAGGTAGGTAGGTTACGTGGGGTTAAGGTAAGCTATATAGGGTTTACGGCTTAGGCTTTATAGGGTTTCGAGTTGATAGGCTTTAGGGAGTTTTAGGGTTTAGAGGTTTAGCGATTTCAGATGGGGTTCACGGTTGCTTTCGGGTTTAGGGTTTATGGTTTAGGGGTTTGGGGTTTAGGGTTCTGGGGTTTCTAGGCTGGCTTCAATTTCAGAGCTCCGGGTTCAGTTCCGGGGTTCGGGGTGCAGGGCTTGGCAGGTACAGTGGTAGAGCCGCGCATCCTTGCTTTCATTCTTTGAGTCTAGGTCTTCTTCCGAATCTCCTTACACCTTAGATCAGGAAATTCGTCCATAAGCCGAAAGTCCCAAGCCCAAAACCGGAAACCCTGTGCTACAATCACTAGGATTGCTTGAATTAAGTCGAATTACAATGGTTACTGTTCTTGCCATAGATACTGGAACTACCATGGTACAAGTACTATCATTACCATGGTCACTAGATTTGTCATGGCTACTCAGAGACTCCAATATCCCTTAACTAGAGAAAATTCCTGAAATCATATAAGGGATCCTGCTATATTTGAAGGTATCGTCCGTAATTAAGGTGTCTTGGGGCCTCTGGGTACTAGAATGGTCATGACTATAACCCTAAACCCTAAAACCATAGTTGCCATAGCTACAAAAATAGCTATGGACTCTTCGACTGGGTTATCCTTTGGGATCTTTTTTGATTTGCTCTAGAGGACCATAATAGCAAATAATTTTCAAAGGGCTTAAATGGCAACTCTGTCGAGCTCCAAGATTCGGCTATTGGCGGAGAAGGAGTCTGAGATCCCTGAATGGGGAAGGAGCTCTAAGCCCTAAGTACTCCTGAAAGGGATCTATGGGGTTTAGGGTTTAGGGTCTACTTGGAGGGGCAGGGGACTTAGTAAGTAAGGCTATTAAGTAGGCTATAAGTAGGATAACCCCACATAGGGGACTTATAACCCCACTTATAACCTACTTACTAAGTCCGATGATCCTTTAAGTAAGCTCTAAGTCCTAAGTAAGCCCCGAAACACGACGACGACGACTACTACGACGACTACGACTACTACTACTACTACTACTACTACTACTACTACTACTACTACTACTTCTACTACTAATTACTACTACTACTACTACTGCTACTACTACTACTACTGCTGCTTCTGCCTCAACCCGAAGCCCCTAAAACAGGTTTTGGCCTCTTCTTACGACCTACGGAAGATTCCGAATTAGCCCTCCGGGTTCACAGGTTTGTACCGGGGCTGAGACGAGCTTCTCGGCATCTGCTACTTAAAGGCTCATGGGACTTAGTAAGTGAAGGTTATAAGTAGGCTACAAGCAGGGTAACCCCACTTAGGGGACTTATAATCCCAATTATAACCTACTTACTAAGTCCCATGATCCTTTAAGTAGGCTGCTGTGGACACTTGTAAGGTCCTTCACACATGATAATTGAAAGGGCCCTGAAGCCTAAACCCTGACTCCCGAAACCCTAGGCATTCCAACTTTCCGAATGGGCAGGAGGAAAAGAGGGCTCAAAAAAAAAGAAACCCTAAACCCTAGAACCCTAAACCCTAAACACTAAACCCTAAACACTGAACCTTGAACCAAAGGTCACCCACCAAAGCCCGGTGTTAGGGTTTGGGGTTTATAGGGTTTAGGCTTTATAGGGTTTAGGGTTTCTGGGGTTTATAGGGTTTAAAGGGTTCCTAACAGGGTTTACAGGGTTTAGGGTTTAGGGATTTGAGGGTTTGGGATTTATGGTGTTTCGGGCTTGAGTTGTGTACTAGGTGTCGTTTTGGGATAAGTTATATTTTCTATCACTGCGTAATCTAGAGCCGTACTCACAAATATTTTTGGGGACTGTTGAAATCGACACCTATTATAGTTTGAGAGGCCTTCATAATAAGTAGAATGAAAAGGCTCCTCTAATGGCTTCTATACGGGTCGCTGCAAAAACCCGAAGCCGCAACCCTGTCACCGGGCCCTGTCCCGATATGGGAGTTTCCGAAACTTAGGGGTACCTTATCTTGGGGTCCTTACAATAAGGATCTTACTATTTAGGATACTTTACCAGGGTCCCCTATGTTCGGTAACTCATATATAGCGCGTCGTCAACGCTGTCAGGTTGAATCTAAACCCTTTCAGCTCAGGACGATGGAGAGAGGAGGCACCAGCTCGTCTGGCAGAACTTCCGGATCAAAGAATCTTTGGCTCAGTTCAGAGTTTTTTATGGTCGTGTGAGGACCCACCGCAAGCGTGATCAGCCCTACAGCTCCTAGGTTTTTCAGATTCAGGACAGCTCAATCAGGATTCGTCTCTATTCGGCATCCTGTCATAGATTCAAGTATCTTTTTTCCCTAAACCCCAAATCCTAAACTCTAAACCCTAAACAATGAACTCCAAACCCTGACAGAACGAGCCTTAACCTCGTCACCGATGATAGTCAGCTCCTTTGGGCCACGCTCAGGGTCTCGAACCTACCAGTAGGAGCCTAAGCTCCGATACTATACTTAAAGGATCATGAGACTTAGTAAGTAGGTTATAATTGGGGTTATAAGTCCCCTAAGTGGGGTTATCCTAATTATAAGCTACTTATAAGCTTACTTACTAAGTCCCATGAGCCTTCAAGTAGGCGCTGGCACAACTACCAATATTTTCTATACTCTACAATATAGTCTTCTATATTCTACTATACTCTGTTTTTTTCTTTTCTCTACTATGCTGTACTATACTATACCATACCATACAGACTTACCCTCAAAGCCTATTCTATCTAGCAAAGCCCCGAAATAACAGAACGCTGAATCTCCCTGGCTATCATTGGATCCAACAACCTACTGTTGATGATATAAGTCCTGCATTACCTTAAGGACCGTAATCTAGGGGAATTATGGCATACTCCTCATTACGGGTAATGCAGGATTTATATCCTACGCGATAAGCCTTAAACCCCGAACCGTTTGTGGACCCTAAACCCTCAACCCCTAAACCCTAAACCGTGCATGAACACGCTGGCGCCCAGGATTGCACGACCGCGAATGCCATGGCTCTTTGTCTCAGAGGGCCAAGATGTCTTTGTCTTGTTCTGCGATTTGCGATTAAGAAGGTAAATAAACCAACAAGATAAAATCCATGTGCATGCATGAGTTTGTCATACAATCACGTAAATGAAAGATGAAGTTGGTGGGTGGAAGGCGTGCAGGTTGGGGTGTGGGGGGCCTAGGCCTGTGTGTTGTGGTTTCCAGGTCGTCGATTTGGGAGTTCCCCAAAATAGGGGACCTTCATATAGTACCCTAAATAGTAGGATCCTTATTATGAGGACCCCAAAAGAAGGTATCCCCTATTTTCGGCAACTCCCATTCGGGTGGGGTCAGAAACCCTGAGCACTGAAGCCGAAAAGCCTAGACTCTACGCCTTCAGCCCTGCACCCTGCTTAGTAAGTCGTCTATAAGTGGGGTTATACTTGGGGTAACTCCATTTAGGGTACTTATAAGTCTACTTATAACCTACTTACTAAGTCCCCTGCCCCTCCAAGTATACATCCCTAAACCCTAGTTGGAGCATCATGGGACTTAGTAAGTAAGGTTATGTTTACGTTAATGGCAACTCTTAGTTACGAAGTCCCATCATCCTTTCAGCAGGCAGGCAAGCCAGACCAAAAAATGGCTTCAATAGCTGTGATCAGGTCAGCCCCTGCCCCGGCTGAAGCGATCACTGAAACTCTACTTAAAGGATCATGGGACCTCGAACTAGAAGTCAGGTACTTCTAACTTTGCTTACTAAGTCCCATGATCATCAAAGTAAGTACTGCATTCATGGGCTCAAAAGCTGTCAAGTTCAAAACCTGTCTCAGTCCTGGTTCCTAAACCCTAAACTGAACTCTACATCCCAAGAGTTACTTAAAGGCTCAACCTTAAACCATAAACCCGAATCCTTAAATCGTAATCCATACTAGAGCTGGGCTTTGGCCAAAGCCGTAAACCGCTAACCGCAAACTCCAACCCAGCACCGTCAATAAGGTTTACAGTTCAGGGGTTTAGGCTTAAGGGTTCGGGGGTTAAAGGGTTTAAGGGTGTAAGGGTTCAGGGGGCCTTTGAGGTTGTCAGCCAATATCTGCTTCACATGCTTTTCAAAGGGGTGTTGGAAGGGTTTCATCAGGGTTTTGGTCTAGGGTCTAGGGTTTAGGGTCTACGTTCTAGGGTCTAGCTAGGGTTTAGGGTTTAGGGTCTAGGGTTGGGGTGGGGGCGTTCTATGGGGTCTCAAGGGGTTTCAAGAGTTGACGAGCTTTGGTTTTTTTGGCGTCGTTGGTTGAGCGGTTTAGGGCTTCACTGTCTGCATTTAGTATCTTTAGTGTTCAAGAGTTTAGGAGTTGGAGGTTTGGGGTGCCAAGGTTTAGGGTTCAGGGTTTAAGGTTTAAGGGCTTCGAGTTTCAGGGTTTCTGGCTCCCGCATTAGGAGTGACTTCGCCAGCCCTTCCCCTCCCCAAGCTCTTAGTAGCTGAGTAGATACACTTTACACTTTCTGGTACAGTATTACCCACTATACAACTGAAAGTGTGCATTTTTTGGGGCTTATGAACCCTAAACCCTAAACCCTAAGCCCTAAACCTAAACCCTTATGAACTCAGCAGCTAAGAACTGAATCTTGAAGCCCTGCACCATGAACTTTGCATTTTCGGGCCCTATGAACTAAGTATACCGCACTTGGAGGCTGCACGTTATAAGTTTCAGAAGTAAACTTGGAGGGGGCAAGGGACTTAGTAAGGTTATAAGTAGAGTTATAAGTACCTTAAATGGAGTTACCCCAATTATTTCTCTACTTATAAACGACTTACTAAGTTCCCTGCCCCTGCAAGTAGTTTTCCAAATGCTAACCTTACCTACTAAGTCCCATGATCCTTTGAGTATTGGCATGCCTTAAGTCTTCAGGTGTTGGGAAACCCTAAACCTTAAACCCCTAAACCCTATGCACTAAGTATACCGTAATGCCTCATTACAGGTATTAAGGCCCCCTACCCCCCTCCCCCTATCCCCCTATCCCCCTAAGAATCCTTATGATCTTCTGGTGTTGGGGAACCCTAAACCCTGAACCCCTAAACCCTAAACAGCCATACGCCTTAAGTCTTCAGGTGTTGGGGACAGAGCATCCAGACTTCATCGAGGGCTTCGATGCAGCCGCGGCCAACACCGTAGAGCTCTTCGAGACCATGGAGACCTGATCCTTAGGGTTCCGGCTTTAGGGTTTAGCCTTAGAGTTTGGGCTTCAGAGTTGTGGGGCTCGTATATTTTTCCTGGAATCGCTTAGGGCTTGGGGTTTGAGCTTTGGGGTTTGGGGCCTTGGTTTAGGGTTCAGGGTTTACGGTTTAGGGCTTTGAGTTTAGGGCTTGTGCTTTCTTAGGGACCCAAAAAGCACATAAGCATAAGCATTTTATGGGGTAGCTTATTGGGCTTCATTATAAGGGGATTTATATTTCATTTTAAGGGGAGTTTTATGGGATATCCCTACCCTAATGTTTTGCTTATGTGCTTTTGTGAGGCCCTACCTTCGACGGCTGCAGACTTTGAGGTTTCTGAGGCTTAAACAAAGTGTAGGGTTCATTTAAGGTTCTTGAGTTTTGGGTTGTTGTGGGTCCAGCGCTCATGGTTGAAGAATCTTTAAGATTTACGGTTCCTGCAGGCTTACTTCAGGGGGATATACTTATCAGGGTGCGGTTTTCGGTTTTCGGGCTTAGTGGCTAGTAGACGAATCCTGAACCCTCAACCCTAATCCCTAAACCCTAAACCTGAACTCTAAACCCTAAAGCCTAAAGCCTAAACCATAAAAGCCCTAAGCCCTACACCCACGCCCTAAAGTCTAAAGATTCGACTCTGAGCCCTAAGCTTCCGGCAAGAAGGCTGGGTGTTCGGATTTCTTTGAAGGCAGATGCCAGGAAGAATCCGGCTCTTGCGCCGATTTGGGTTGATAAACTTTAAGATAAACTTTAAACTTTCTGCAATCATGAAACCCCGTCTACAACTGAAAGTTTAGACTTCTTTGGGCAAATCAACTCGGCAACTAAGCTACAGTAACAAGTTTGTCATGTTTGAAGTATGCTCTACTGTGCCTCAAAACTGCTGTTGATGATATAAATCCTGCATTACCTTAAGGACCCTAAACTATGGGAATTATGGTATATCCCTTATTATGGGTAATGCAGGATTTATGTCATCAACCGCATGCTCTACTGTGCCTCAAAACTATATTCTTCAGGCTCTTAGATGATGGAAGGTACTAGGAGACAAGGCTCCTGTCAGGGAAGCGTTTGTCGCAGGTTACTGCTGCTTTAGTGAGGGTTTAGGGTTTAGGCTTGAGGGGCGTGGGTCTAGGGTTTAAGGTGTAGGGTTTAGAAGGGGTTTGGGTTGCAGGGTTTAGTGTTTGAGGGATCAATCTAAGGTTAAGTGCGCAGGATCGCGCAATGCAAACTCTAATTTCAGGGACCCTTTTTACGAGGAGTTCCTTTCAACGGTAAACTCGACAGCCTAAACCCTCAACCTCAACCCACAACATGTTGTATACGCCCCACAAACCTTAAAGCCTCAACCGCGCATCCTAAACCCTAAACCCGGACTTGCCCGCAAATCCTGCTGATAACTTTTGTCATCAGCTGCGACTACAAAGTCCCGACGTGTTTAGCTCTACCTCTACTTTTTGGTAGCGGCCCTATGAATGGGCCATGTTTTTTTTTTTTTCGAAGGTGCGGCCAACCCTTGTTTGCGAGGTGCGGCCAAGGGTCCCTGGTGCATGCGGTCCCCTAGTCCTCTGGTCCTGGGTCCTGTGGTCCCCTGGTCCTCCGGTCTGCTGGTCCTCTGGTCCTGTGGTGTCCGTGCATGCGGTCCCCTAGTTTTCTGGTCCTTGGTCCTGTGGTTGCCTGGTCCTCTGGTCTGCTGGTCCTCTGGTCCCGTGGTCTCCTGGTGCCGTGGTCTCCTGGTCCTGCGGTCCGCCGGTCCCTCGGTCCCGCAAAAGCAACAAGAAAGCAAACAAGGAATAACAAAAATAAAGCAAAATTTCAGAAGTAAGAAAACCAGAAGAAAGATGATGAAGGAAAGAAAGCCAGGAAGAAAGCACAAAAGAAAGCAAGAAAGCAGAGGAGCTAGCAAGGAATGAAAGAGAAACAAGAACGGGAATCCGTTTTTGTTTGCGTCCTTTTTTTCGGTCCTCTTTTTTTGCTTCCACGTCCTGTTATTTACACAGGGAAGGAAGAAAGCAAGGAAGAAAGCAAGGAAACAAGGAAGGAAGGAAGGAAAGGAACGAAGGAAGGAAGGAAGGAAGCAAGGAAGGAAAGAAAGAAGGAAGAAAGGAAGGACGGTAGTACATCAGTATATAAAGTAAAAAACACATATACATATATATATATATATATGTATACATAGTATACATAGTACATGTAGTATATATAGTATGTATACTAGATATAGTATGTACAGTATATACATATAACATGTGTATATATAATATATATTCATATAGTATATGCATATATATATATGTAGTATATATATATGTAGTATATATATATATAGTATATAGAGTTTATATTGTATATTTTTATCTACAGTATATATAGTATATATAATGTATAAAGTATATATAGTATATATATAGTGTACATAATATATACAGTATGTATATATGTATATATATATATAGAGTATATATGTATAGTATATGTAGTAGATTAAGTAGATATAGTATTAGTATATACAGTTTATATTGTTTCTGTAGTATATATTATTTTATATAGTATATACAGTAGATATAGCATATATAGTAAATATAGTAGATATGGTAAATATAGTAGTTATAAGAGATATAGTAGATATAAGAGATATAGTAGATATAGTGAATATAGTAGATATAGTAGATATAGTATATATATATATATATATATATATATATATTATATACAGATTGTATATATGGTATATATATATATAGTAGATATAGTACATACAGTATATACAGCATATATATATATACTATATATAGTATATATAGTATATATAGTATATATAGTATATATAGTATATATAGTATATATAGCATATATAGTAAGTATAGTGTATATATATATGTATATATATAGTGTATATATATATATATATATACATACATACAGAGAGAGAGAGAGAGAGAGAGAGAGAGAGAGAGAGAGAGAGAGTTTGTGTGTGTGTGTATATATATATACATACATATGGAGGGCCCATTATTTTGGATCTTGTTGTTGTTTTTTTTTGTTTGGTGTTTTTCCATGGGTTTTCCTGGGGAAAACACTATTTTCCTCACGTTTTGGACGGATTTGGTGTGCTTTTCTTGGTTTTTCCACCTGAAACGAAAAGAACCCAGGAAGACAGAACGAAACACCCCAGAACAAGGACCAAAGCAAGGAAGAAGAACAGAAAGAAAGAAAAGAAGTAAGACAGACGGTTGGAAATTCAGGTTCGGAACCCAGATTCACAACACGGATTTTCTTGGGTTGTTGTTTCAGCGGGGTTACACGCGAAGCAACACAATCAATCATGAATGACTTGGAAGCTCTCTTGAGCCACGAAGTAATCAACAATAGCGTGTTTGCCAGCCGGTCGTTTGCTACGAAATAAATAAAACCGTGTTCGTCAACACAAAAAAAATGAAGCCAGACAACAATGCTTCAGGGGGTTTTAACGCGAAGAAGACCAAATCAATCCTGAAGGATTTAAAAGGTTTGCAAATGGGGGGGGCTGCGCCCCCCCCAACCCCCCCGCTTTTTTAGACTAAACTCCCCGCTCTCTAAAGCCACGGAAAATGCACAAAAACGTATCCGCCAACACACAAGCAGGGGAAGCCAGACAATAATGCTTCAGGGGGGTTTAACGCAAAGAAGACAAAATCAATCCTGAAGGATTTAAAAGGATTGCAAATGGGGGGGGCTGCGCCCCCCCCCAACCCCCCCGCTTTTTTCAGACTAAATTAACTCCCCGCTCTGTAAGCCCGCGAAGAAATGAACATACACGTATTCGGCAACACACAAGAAGGGGAAAGCCAGACAGCCACGCTCCAGGGGGTTTAACGCGAAGAGCAGCAACAACACGACGACATCAACGACACCACCACCACCAACGACGACAGCAACGACATCAACGACACCACCATCGCCACCAAGGCAAATAGTTTTGGAAATGGCTTCATTTCCTATAATTTAATTTGTTTGTGATGCTCTTTTTTTAAATCAGTTTTTTGTTGATCCCTGGATTTCATTTGTTGTTGATGATTAGTTTTTTTTGATGCTTCACCCAGGGATCCTGCGCTTCGAAGCGCTGGCGCTGTGGTGCGGCGCCAATTGTCTACGTCCCCGATGAACCCTCCACAGGGATCCTGCCCCTCGAAGCGTTGGCTCTGTGGTACGGTGCAAATTTTCTACGTCCCCGATGAACCCTCCACACCGATGAACCCTCCACAGGGATCCTGCGCCTCCAAGCGCTGGCGCTGTGGTGCGGCGCAAATTCTCTACGACCCCGATGAACCCTCTACAAGGATTCTGCGTGTCGAAGCGCTGGCGCAGTGGTGGGGCGCAAATTCTTTACATCGCCGATGAACCCTCCACAAGGATCCTGCGCCTCCAAGCGCTGGCGCTGTGGTGCGGCGCAAATTCTCTACGACCCCGATGAACCCTCTACAAGGATTCTGCGTGTCGAAGCGCTGGCGCTGTGGTGGGGCGCAAATTCTTTACATCGCCGATGAACCCTCCACAAGGATCCTGCGCCTCCAAGCGCTGGCGCTGTGGTGCGGCGCAAATTCTCTACGACCCCGATGAACCCTCTACAAGGATTCTGCGTGTCGAAGCGCTGGCGCTGTGGTGGGGCGCAAATTCTTTACATCGCCGATGAACCCTCTACAAGGATCCTGGGTGTCCAACCTGAACAAATTCTTGGCCGCACCTCCGAAAAAAGAGGGTTGGCCGCACCTTCGAAAAAAAAAAACCCCCCGCCCCCTATGAATTCCATGTTAAGGTTCATTACAAGAGCTTTGTAAAACACAGACTATGGTAGCGTTTTGTATGCCTTCTTGATGCCTTGAGCATCAACGAAATTGGGCGTACTCGTCAAACCCTACTTGGAGGCTCGGGATGGGTATAACCTGACAGAAATTGCAATTGTAATCCGCTGATAACCTAGGTCGATCAATGTACTTGAGATATCAAGACGGAACGAAAAAACATGATAAACTCCGAGACCATAAACCCTAAAGCCTAAACCCCAAAACCCCTAAACTCTAAGCCCTACAAGCCCCAAGTCTTGATTGAAGACAAGCTTGAGCCCTAATCCCTATCCTAACCCGAAGCCCTAGTCCTAATCAAACTCTAAACCTTAGACCGTATGACAAACTTGACTTGAAAGCACTAAACCCCTAAACCCTACTGGGAGGGTCGGGGGACTTAATAAGTACGTAGCAAGTAGAGTTATAAGTACCCCTAAAAGGGATCCTAATTGGGGTTATGGTACTTATAAGTCCCTAAAATAACCAGTTACTAAGTCCCCCGACCCTCCAAGTAGGGCTGAGGGTTTAGGGGGACTTCTGAAACCTTAGGCCGTAAGACAAGACTTGAAGCCCAAGAAGCCGCAGGAGCTGGTGCCTGCTGGTGCTGCAGGCCCAGAGTTCGACTTCCCAGAGACTCCTACTTAAGGAATAACTAGGGTCCTTTAAGGGGTCTATAAGGGATCTATAGGGTTTAGGCTTAGGGGATTCTAATATCCCTTAATTAAGGAATATACCTTAAAACATAGTAGGATCCCTGATATCAGTTAAGGAACACTCCATAATTTAAGGGATGTACCTTAAATTATGGTAGGATCCCTAATATGATTTAAGGTGTGTTCCTTAATTAATGGGTATTGGAGTCTCTGGGTTCCGTTGCAGGGGTTGGAATACGTGGCAATACGGTTGATGATATAAATCCTGCATTACCCATAAAGAGGAATATGCCATAATTCCCATAGTTTAGGGTCCTACTGCAGGATTTAAATCATCAACAGTATGGTTAGTTCCTTTAGGCCCCCCCAAATAGTACGATTAACGACCGGGACCCTGGTTTACAGAACTAGCCACATCATTCCCGCGACGTCTTAAAACAAGTTCAGTACATTCCACCCGAAACCTATGTTAAGCCGACAGGCCCTCTAGCTGACTCTTGGGCCCATGGAAAGGGAATAGGGTTCAGGGTGGGGTTTAGGGTGCATTGATAGCTTTCGGACGACTCTGAGGGACGATCTTGTCAGTGTTGTCTCAGCAATCGAGAGCAACGATGCGATGGTGTTGTGATGCTTGGAGGGCTTTTATCGCGCTTTGAGCCCACACTCGCAACCGGTAGCTTGGAAGCCTGTACTTGAAGGATCATGGGACTTAGTAAGTAGGTTATAACTGGGGTTGTAAGTCCCCTAAGTGGGGTTATCCTAATTCCAACCTACTTATAACCTTACTTACTAAGTCCCATGAGCCTTTAAGTAGACCCTGAACCCTAAACCCCATAGATCCCCTTAAGGATCCCTATAGATCCCTTTAAGGAGCTTACTTACTAAGTCCCATGAGCCTCAAAACCGAAGACTGGACGCTCCCAGCCATCTTCGGCTTTCCCAAGGCCGCTGGCTCGCGCCATTTTGTTGTGAAACCATTCAGGACCCCACTTGCAGGATCTTAAGGGGATCTATAGGGATCCTTAAAGGGGGTCTATGGGGTTTAGGGTTTAGGGTCTACTGGGAGGATCATGGGAGTAAGTAAGGTTATAAGTACCTTAACTGGGGTTATAAGTAATTATAAGTGTAGTTGCCCCCAGGAAGGAACAGGAAGGTCCTATGAAATCATATGGGTGCTTGTCAAAATTACGGCCCTTTTTGGGTCCCGAATATAGTACGGCACCTAATATTTGGGGTACGCAAAAAGGGACCGTAATTTTGACAACCATCCATATGAGCCCACCGCCATCTCGTAGAACTCTGCAGAACCCTCGAAAGCATTGTGCAGCCTGGCGCACATCCAACCCTTGAGCCGTAAACCCTAAACCCCCACCCTAAAACCTCTAAAGCCTAAGCCCCCAAACGTAACCCCTAAACCCTAAATCCTTAACCCCTAAACCCTAATTCCCCAACCCCTAAACCCTAAATCCCTAAGCCCCTAAGCATTTTACGCAGGCGTCCCCTCCTTACCTCTGGGTCTTTCGTTGGTAACATGGATGTTGCGGACGGAAAAAGGAGCTCAAAAACAAAAAAATGCAGGCGTACCACTGGACCGCTTGGCCAGCGTGCACGGGCACTACTTCGGCAGCGGCTTCGAGAAAACCGTGGGCCCGAGCCTTGGGGTCGTTTTTAAAGTTGGTTTTAGAGATTGGGGGTTCTTGATTTAGGGTTTTTAGGGTCCAGGGATTTAGGGGTGTTAGGAATTGGGGTTGTTAGGGTTTGGAGTTTTAGGGCTTTAGGATTTACCTTTTTTAGGGTCTAAGGATTTAGGATTTAGGGTTAGTTTGTTTTAGGGTTTTAGGGGTTCTTGTGCCGATTATACTATAATGGGTTTTAGGATTTAGGGTTTAGGGTTTTAGGGTTTAGGGTTTTTAGAGTCTAGGGTTCTGGGATTTAAGCTTTTGGGTTTGGGGTGTTCGGATTTAAGGATCTAGGGTTTCAGGTTTGGGGTCGCAGTGTTAGGGTTCAGAGTTTCGGAGTTTGGGCTTAGGGGGTTCTTTTTCGATTTTTCTTAAACCCTAAACCCTAAACCCTAAACCCCTAAACCCTAAACCCTAAACCCCTAAACCCTAGTTTCGTGATGTGGCTTTATGAGATTTCATAGGCTGGTTGAGGCTGTAACATTGATTTCTCGGGCGCAGAGTTTGTCTTGATAAGGTTTCTCCCTAAACCCTAAACACGGTTTCCGAGGCTTGGATCCTGGAGCGCTTGGCATATTGAGGTTAGGGTGGAGATCATTTTGGGGATCAGGGTTGATTTTGGGGATCAGGGTTGAAGCGTTCGCGCGTCAGACAGATTATTTCTATGGGCGTTCAAACTCAAGATTCCCTACTGACTTGCCCCGAAGCCCTAAAGCCCACTTGGCGGATCATGGGACTCACTAAGTAAGGGTTATAAGTACTTTATAATCGAGTTGTAAGTACGTAATCGGACATTAGGTAATCAGAAACATGGTTTAGTTGTCCTGTGAGTACCCCCAGCTAGTAAGTCAGTCCCATGATCCTCTCAGTAAACCTTTCCAAACAAAACTTGAAACCATAAACCCTATGAGAGCGGGGATTCACAGCTTTCGGCTTGATGGAGGTGTAAGCAGAGGCGCTGATGCTAGTGTAGGGGCCTAACCCATCGCCGTGCTGCCTTTTAGGGCTCCGTATCTACGTCTGCACCAACATACCCCTGACTCTATTCTAACTATTAAGAGACCTCGATTACATCCTTTAACATCCGACTTGCGTTTCTTGATGTGCACAAAGCTCTCGCCCGATACTTGAATGACAATAGCTAGACCAACGACTTGGAGTTGAAGGTTTCGTGGGTTTGGGCTTCGGCTTTTCGATTTAGGGGGTTTAGGTTTAGGGTGTGGGGGGTTTAAGTTTTAAAGCGCTAACCCACAAGTTCTGAATCCGAAGATAAACGAAAGCGAAGGAACCCAAAACGCAACAAAACCCTAATCCCTAAACCCTCAACCCCAGACACATGAGATCCGAAGCTGCAGGTAAGAAGCTCCGGCAGTTTTGCATCGACAGGCAGCGCTTTCTTGTCTCCGGGGCACCCCGAATCCCGAAGCCCTCAACCGTAGAAGCATAATCTTAGGGGTACTTAGAAATAAATTGTGAATTTTTTGTTATTATAATCCCTAAGAAACAGCTAAAATTATGATTTTTGCTAGGGTTCTAAGTTCAGTATAGTAAGCACGACCTTAAACTCTACAACCTAGAGCCTACGCCCTTGAAGTAGATAAACCCTAGATCCGAGGTAGTTCGGAACAGCAGACTTTGGGGTTTGTTAGGGCCGAGGGTTGAGTCATTGGGGTGGTTGTCAATAATCTGGTCCCTTTCTGGATCCTTCTTATAATACGGCACCTAATGATCTAATATTTAGGGTACCCAAAAAGGGACCATAGTTTTGACAACCACCCATTGGTTTCAGCAAGAAATGAAGGACAGATGTCTGCAGTCCCAAGAACCAGGTGGTTTAGGCGAGCCCTCTTCAGCGACCTTATTGCAAGAGTGACGTATCATGTCGGGAACCAAAAAGGGGATCTTAGTCCAGTCTTGGGAAGCCCAACACCCAAAACCCTAAACCCGCAAGCCCTAAACCCTGCACCTTAAACCTTCATATTGTGCTGGTCCCTGCAGGCTCTCTTTGAATCCTTAGAGGAACCCTATTCTAACTATGAAGGTCCTTAGGGGTACTTAGAAATATTTTTTAATTCTTCGTTATTATAATCCCTAAGAAGCAGCTACAATTGTAATTTTTGCTAGGGTTCTAACTATGAAGGTCTGTTATCTGAGCTTCGGTGTGGTTTAGGGACGGGTTTGGACCGGTGGGCCGATGTGACAAAGTTGTCAGCGCCAGGTTCAGTTCGAACGGTTTAGGGTTTAGGATTTAGGGTCTAGGGTTTAGGGTTGTGCTGTAGGGTTTTAGGGTTTTAGGGTTTAGGGTTTAGGGTTCGAAGATTTCGGTGCTGAAGCCGTTGTTCTCAGTCGTAAACTTGCTGTAAAGGTTTCAGATTTAGTGCTCCTTTCTACCCTTAGCTCATGAGCCCTATGTGCTTTGCGCTCTAAGACCCTAAACCCTAAACCCTAAATGGGAATTATATAGTAAGCAAGGTTATAAGTAGGTTATAATTAGGGTAACCCCACTTAGGGGACTTATCACCCCAATTGTAACTACTTACTAAGTCCCATGAGGCTTTAAGTAGGCTTCAAGCCTAAGCCTAAGCCTTAAGCCCCAGACACAGACCGTGACCCTAAAGCTGCTGAAAAGGCTCGGGATGTACGGTTTAGGGTTTAGGGTCTACTCATAAGTACCTTAAGTAGGGGTATTTGTAGTTATAAGTATTCCTCCCCTTTAGTTAGTTCCGTGATCCTTTAAGTACAGCCCTAAAGCCCCAAAGTAGAGGGACCCCCGGCCTTTCTGATTGCCGGTGGAAGGTTTGAGTACGACGACCGCATGCGGCGGGTGAAGGCATCGAACAAGGTGCCTGCATGGAGTTTAGGGCTCGGGTTTATGAAATTTCTCAACGTATGGTGGTCTGAATTACTGGCAATGGTCTTCCCTTTTGGCCCCAGTATGAAACTGGTTTAAGGTTCCAGTGAATCCGGTTCAACTTACTTTAAGGGTTTAGGGTTAAAGGTTAAAGGGTTTAGGGGTTTAGGGGTTTAGGGTTTAGGGTTTGGGGTTAAAGGTTTAAGGGTTCAGGGGTTTAGGGTCTTGATTCTTTCAAGCAGGGTCCTTCTCAGGTCCTTGATGTCTTGAGTGCTCGCGCCCTTTACTGGGTGCGCAGAACGAAGCCCAGAGCGCAGCAGGTGTACTTAAAGGATCATGGGGCTTAGTAACTGGGGTTATAAATAAGGTAACTATACTTATAAGTACTTATAACCCCAATTAAGGTAGTTACTTATAACCTTACTTACTAAGTCCCGTGATCCTCCAAGTAGACCCTAAACCCTAAACCCCATAGACCCCTTTAAGGATCCCTATAGATCCCTTTAAGGAGCCCTTTAAGAACCCTTACTAAGTCCCATGATCCTCCAAGTAGAAGGCCACGAAACGAGTTGCACTTGGTTCCTAGGCAGTTCAGGCCGAGAGAGCCCCTGCAGCTCTACGCCTTAAGTCCCCAGAGAGCCCGATAGCCCTTGATTAAGCAATATGCCTTAAATTATAAGGGAGTTCATAATATGCCTTAAATTATAAGGGAGTTCATAATATACCTTTAATTATAAGGGAGTTCATGATATTCCTTAATTAAGGGGTATTGGGCTGTCTGGGTCCCAAGCCCTAAGCCTCAGACTCCTCCTCCCTTTGTTCCTCCGGCGTTGCTCTCAATCTGGGTAGTATTATCAGGGAGACCCCTTAAAGGGTACCCGGGTACCCCTTCTGAACCCTACTTTTGGCTCTCTTAAAAGGGACCTTATTGAGAGGGTCTATATCCCCGAGGGTCCCCCTAATCCTAACTCCCACAATCTTTGGTGGTGAAGGTGATTGCGGCCATCCGGAAAGTGGAGGCAGGGATGGGACCCCTCAGCCCCAAAACCCTCATACATAGTAAGACTTGCAATAATAGAAGAAGAGTATAATGGCAGCAATAATAATCACATAGTAATAACGACAATCAAAAGTACAGGAACTGATAACAGTTATATTAGCAATAAAAATGACAATATCCATACCAATAATACTACTAACAATAGACAAAGACCATGGCAGTAATAAGATGAACAACTATAACAACAATAACAGAAACAACAGCAGTAGTAGCAACAGTAGTATTCTGTTAAACCCACTGAAGCCCTTAGGTTGCACGGAATAGCCGCGCTTCTTTTGAAGCGGCTCACATGTGTAGGTTGGAAAATAAGTCTGGATTTCAATTTCAATTATGTTTTAAAACCGATTCTAATACCTCATTGCGGGTTTTAGGGATTAGCTTCGAGAAACAAATCCAAGTAGGTTGGAAGGCTTTTACTTTGGAGCTTAGACATGCCGCCAGGCTTCCTGAAAGGGGACCTTCCCGGGTTCTAAGGGATCTACGGGGTTTAGGGCTTGGGTCTAGCATCTACTTGGAGGATCTTAGTAAGTAAGGTTACAAGTACCTTCATTGAGGTAAAAAGTAGTTATAAGTATAATTAGTTACCTCAACAACATCCCCAGAGTCCCACGATCCCTTAAGTACTGCAGCCATACAACTTGCAAGATACCCGTTTCAGGGTTGTCATCGTAGGATTGGATTGGGGATTTAGCGCCGGCTGTATCTCGTGTTACCAAGTCCCAAACTCTCTAGGCAAGCGCCGCGGCATCGTCCGAGACCCAGCCTGACACCGGCACAGCTCCATGCCCCATCTTTCTCTTGTCCGGAAGCCCCTGTTTGTACCTTCATCATTCTATGCTCAAACCGAAGCCGCCATCCTATTTTGGGGGTTCCTTATCATGATTTATACCATAATGGGCCCCCAACCCTATTCTAATTATCAAGGCCCATACGTTATAGTATCCTTATGGGTCCCAATTAACATCCGGCACCACTCCACAGCTACACTGTCTCTGTGGGAGGCCCGCGACCTCATCCAGGAGGAGAGGGACGCGGCCAAGAAGGCAAAGTTTGATGCGCTGCAGGCCCCCGCATGGACAAGTGACCGATACAGAGACTCTAGCAAGCCTCAGTAATTAGTACTTATTAGTACCGTTAGTCCTGGATAGTGGCCGTAGAAGCATATCATAATACATGCCAAAACCTTATTCTGACGATCAAGGTTCCCATACCAGATCTCCCAGCAGATCATGCCACATCACACAACATACCAAAGCACAGTACATCATAGCATAGATCAGCATAAACAGACATACCGTAGCATAGTGTGGGACAGAATCCAATCACCCAGCACAGCATCACATAGTACGCGCTACCTTCAGCTGAATCCCCAGCGTCGGAGTGAGCCCAGATATCGAGAGCATCTACTTGGAGGATCATAGAACTTAGCAAGTAAGGTTACAGCCATGTTAACTGCGGCTATAAATAGTTATGATTTTAGTTGCCTTGTTTATGACCCTGGCTACTGAGTCTCCCTGCTAAGACCAGAAACATGTTGTGCTATACGGAAACCCATAACAAACTGTGTTCATGGGGTTTGGGGGGGCATCAGACTACAATTTTAACAAGGAACCCCCACAACAATTAGTATTGGTAATAATTGAGGCCCCTACATTGAACCCTAAACCCTACAGATCCCTTTAGAGGAACCAGTAAGGATCCCTTTAAAGGTAGTAGATCATATCAGGGTTTCGGGGCAACAGTCTGTTCCCTGGAAGGATTACTTGCCGGTGAAGCCACCGCCCTTCGCTCTGGCTGCACCTCAGGCAGGGATGGGCATGTTTGGGGTTTAGTGGGTTTGTAGGGTTTGGGGTTTAGATTGATTTTCGATTTGACTTAAATGGGGTTTTAGGGTTTGGGGTTTAGGGCTTTTGGGGTTTAGGGTTTAGGGTTTAGGCTTGAGGGTTTTAGGGTTTAGGCTTTAGGGCCTGTGGTGATGTCGGTCATCTCGATTAGGACCATGTTATAGTCTGGTGTTTCTTACTTTACAGATTCTGCTGCTTTCGTTGGTGATGTTGGTGATGACTGAGATGGTGGTAAGGATGGTGCTGACCGCGGTCAAAGCGATCCTGATGTTGCAAGTGTTTACAAGTAGTTTTCCCGATCGTAATCACAATGTGTTGAGTTGGCCTTGGGGGGGTTCGGGTTGCCGTTGTTGTTGCTGGGCTCTCGAATTGCTCAGTCATTGTCACTGCGAGTCACTTCGCCGTTCCCACTGCGCAACTATATCTAGTACCTTTGGCCATACTGCCGTCATACACCGTCTTTGATGAGATGAATAGCGGTCGTGGTCGTGGTCTTCGTCGTCGTGGCGCGCCAGAACCCCAAAATGAAGTGCCTGAAGCCCTAAAATCCGCAATGATGACGATGCCCCTTCCGTGACGGGGTGACTTTGCCGTGTGGTGAGAATGCCTTCAACCTCGGTGACCTCTTTGTGCTGCTCTACAAGTAGAATGTCTCACCCAGTGTATGCTCGTGCAGGAGCCATCAGGTCACCATTGCAATTTTGAAAAGACTCCAAAACTCGGGCCAAGATCATATTGCTTCCCTGAAACAGGACTGTCTCCCAGGCCTTAACCCCAAAAACCCAACTCCCTGGTCCCTTGAGGGTCTGGGGCTTCGGGTTAGGGCCTCGATACTCCAAAGCCCTTAGTCCCTCAACCGAAGGTTCCGAAAGTTCTGCTGTGCCGACTAGGTGGCTTTCGATCAAGACCATCGGCCTCGTTACGTCGGAGCCCTGCAAATCTCGCTAATCGGGGCTCTATGGGGTTCTATACGAGTTCTATAGCGCAGGTCATTATGATGGCCGTGTGTAGGATTTGCGGTTTCGGGTCAGAGGCCTGGTTTAGCGCGTACCGTGTCTTGTCCTCACACTGTTGAGCTCGAACCCAAAAGCTGGGCACACCCTGCCCTAAACCCCAAACCCTAAACCCTGAACCGTACACCCTAAACCCTAAACCCTAAACCCTAAATCCTAAACCCTGAACCCTAAACCCTAAACCCTAAGCCCTTTTTTGCCCTTCTTGTTTCAGGTTTGTCCGGAACAGGCTGTAGATGTCCGTGGCACCATGTTCTACAGGCTTAGGTTGAGGGTCGAGGGTTTCACGCTGGATATAGGGTTTAGAGTATATGTATATGTTTACCTATACGTAGATGTATATGTATGCGTAGATGTATGTGTATGTGCATATGCAACTGTGCCCATATATCTATGTGTATGTGCACAGATGCGTGTGTTTATACGTCAAGGTATGTATGCAAACAGTGCAAGAGTCATATCATCGTTGCAATAACGATAGGAAGAGCCGCTATCAAGAGAAATCATGATGATTCAGCAGTACGGTTGATGATATACATCCTGCATTACCCATAACAAGGAAGATAGCATCATTCCCATAGTTTAGGGACCTTGAGGTAATGCGGTAATGCAGGATTTATATCATCAGCACTATGAACGGCCGAGGCGACTACGAAGATGACTCCGGATGAGTTGGAAGAGAGGACCCCGCTTTTTGCATTCCATGCCGAGATACCCAAACCACTCAAAAACTCTACCGAGCCCAAGCCCTCAAACCTCGCAAAAGCAAAACCTAAACCTCCACCGACTTTCCTTAGCTGGAAGATTTGCGGTTTGGGGAGTATGCAGAGCCAGAGTACGGCAAGAAGGGGTTTGGACGCTATTGGTTCACTACCTGAATTATTATCAGGGATTTGAGGTTGTCATGACCTGTGCCCGCCATCGTAAGGCATAGGCCTTCAAGACCCCAAACTCCTTGAACCCCAAGCTCTAAACATGCCTTAACCCTCATTCCCGAAGCATAGTCGACATTGCCTGTCACCAGGCCGATGAGTGCCAAGGGGCTTGGCAAGGGCGACTACTTCTGAGCGGGCTACATGCCGTAGTTACATGTCCATCATCTGCATTTCGTGTGCGTAGAGACCTTTGTACTTTGTACATATGCTGTCCATATATATATATAAATATAATATGTATATATATATATATATATATATATATATATATTATGTAGATAGTCATATGTCCGAACATTTATATACACACAGAGACAGAAGAAGCCGTGCACATTTCTCGCCTACGAGTTACGGATGTTTTGACGTCCTAGGAAGGCCTGCCGTTGTTCTAGCGACTATGAAAGATGTTTCCCGAGAGAGGCAAGAAGCCTCGGCCGCGTGCTGCTTCAGAACTAAGGTGCTGAGTCTTGGTGGTTCAGACCTGACAAACCCGAAACGCGAAGCTAAGCTAAGCCAAAGCACTAGTAGACCCTCGACCATAAACTCTCCAACATCCTCTGAAGGGTCCATTCTGATTATTAAGGCCCCTTCATTGCGCTTGCAGAATCTAAACCCTAAACCCTAAACTCTAAACCCTAAACCCTGAACAAGGTCTATTCTGACTATTAAGGCCCCTTCATTGCACTTGCAGACGCGACTCGACAGACGCAGACGAACGATCGGGGGTAGACGGACCCTCGGTGCCGAGGGCAATGTGAAAGCATGCGCAGTTAGGGTTTAGGGTTTCGGGCAGGGTTCTGGGGTGTTTCCTAGGTGTATCAGGGAGACCCCTTAAAGGGGTCCCTTCTTAACCTCTCTATATCCCCAAAATTGCCCCCCATCCTAACTCCTAGTGTTCGGTGTTTAGGCTTCCAGGGTTGTAGGACTTTGTGGGGCTCTGTATTCAGGGTTTCGGGGGTTTAGGGCCTAATTTAGGGTTTAGGGGGACGGTTTAGGGTTTAGAGTCTTAGTATTTCTGGTCGTTCCACTGATCCCTTTTGCAGACGACCCCTTCCGGATCCCTTCAAGGAGGAATCGAGGTAGGGCTAGGCTTCGGCTTCGGCTTGACGGCTTAAGGGTTTTAGGGTTAGGCCTTCAGGGTTTAGGGTTTAGGTTTAGGGTTTAGGTTTAGGGTTTAGGGTATAGGGAGGGCTTTAGGGTTCAGGCCAAAACCCTAAACCGGAAACCCCCACCCTGCAAAGAAACGTGGGGCGCCTACCTTCAGACAGAAGCCCCCGCACCTACCCCGAACCGACAGCCGGCCCCAGAGACTTTTAATTAGGGAATACCTAGGGTCCTTTAAGGGATCTGTAAGTGACTATAGGGTTTAGGTTTCCGGGATTCCAATATCACTTAATTAAGGAATATTCCTTAAATCATATTAGGGATCCTTAGTATGAGTTAAGGAATATTCCTTAACGGATATTGGAGTCTCTAGGGCCGCGACTAACGGTTTTAGGGTTTATGGGTTTATGGGGTTTAGGGTTTAGAGTTTAGGTGTTGAGGGCCTAGGGATTTAGAGTTTAGGGCTTAGATTCTCTCTTTGGAATATTGACCCTCAACCTTAGGCTTGTCTTAACAGACGTAGCAGGGGGAGCAGACTTCGACAGTTTGGGGGTTTATGTTCGGGATCCTACGGCTGACACGCAGAGTGACATTACTTGGGTACTGCCCCATACAGTAACAGTCTAACTATGAAAGGCCTACTATATATCGTAAAGATTATTCAACTGTTACTGAGTGGGGGCAGTACCCAAGACATTACCTTAACTTCCCCCGAATATGGAGATTCTGGAAAGCACTGCATACTCTTCCACGGGGCAAGCCTTCTAAAGCCCCCACAACCTCATACCACCCTGCACCACCTTTCGAACTTTGTGCAGCTCTCCATCAGCAGTATTTTCGGGAACTATTACAGGTGGTTTGAAGACTTCCGGATGACCTTTCTTATAGTTCCCCGACAGTAAGCCTACACGCTAAACTAAACCTAAACCCCGAAACCCTAAGCCCAATAACGTTAAATATACACCAAAACTCTCTTCCACGTGTTTCTGCGATCCGAACCCTACAGTGTGCTCAAGACCTTTCACTTTTGGAGAAAGGCATCTGTGTAGTTCCTGTAGCAAGCACCCAAAACAAGTTCTTCGGGTTTGTAGTTTTTGTATACAAGGGGTTGGTCAGTGAGTCAATCGAGTCTACCGTAAAGAGCCATGAACTTCCCAGACATACCTTACCAAGAACTCCGGAGACTTTAGGAAAGATGCGTATCCTCCAGGCCTCTGGGCCTCAACGCAGAGAGTGTAGTCGCACAGAAACCTGAAGTAGCTACACCAGGAACCCCGAAGATCAGACGCACTGAGGAGCCCAGTGTGTATCGGCAAGAACCCCAGGCAACCGCCCGAAATGGCATTAGGCGTGATACTGTTGATGATAGAAATCCTGCGTTACCTTCAGGACCATGGGAATTATGGTATAGTCCTTATTATGGGTAATGCAGGATTTATATCATCAACCGTAGTTGTTGTTGACATAACTTCTAGGTCTCCACCCCTGGCCTGAGCCATGGCGCTACCTGCCTTTGGTGTTGACGGCGATGAGGTACGAGGGTTCACGGCAGGATTGAGGGTTTGGCATTCAAGGTTTCGGGTGCGTGTCAGGTCACCACTCGACAAGAGTGCCCTTGCAGTGGGAATACTAAACCCTCAACCCCTAAACCCCTGAAGCCGTAAACCCTTAAACCCCTAAACCCCTGAAGCCCTAAACCCCTAAACCCTAAACGCCTGAACTCCTAAACCCCAAACCCCATCCCCCTAAACTCCTATTTGGGTTTTCAGACTTATACACCGAAGCCTCGATCCTGCACTCTAACAAACCCTGAACCCCAAACCTACTTAAAGGATCATGGGACTTAGTAAGTAGGTTATAATTGGGGTTCTAAGTCCCCTAAGTGGGGTTATCCTCATTGTAACCTACTTATAACCTTACTTACTAAGTCCCATGAGCCTTTGGCCTTACATGTCTGGCAACCCGAAACATTCAGCCTCATGCAGCCCTGCCTGCAGTCAGACCTGCCTCCAGTCAGAGCTGATGTTCCGATCAGCTGTGCTTTGCAGTTGCTTTAGCTTGTCTGCTTCCTAGCTCATTCCAATCGTGATGAGCAGTTCAGAGTCACATCCACGGGCCCATCAAAAGGCACTCGTTTTTGCTGACTTTCTTGCTGCGTAAGGCAGGCCTTACATCGCAAGGTTGAGGTACGAAGACATAAGTATTTCAATTTCCCAGACCCCGAGCCCTACAATTCTCGCTAGGCTTACGTGATGAAGCCCCTTACTTGGAGGTTCATGCGACTTAGCAACTACAGTTAAAAGTACCTTAACTGGGGTTATAACTAATTACAAGTCTAGTTACCTTAATCATATGACCCTAGTTACTAAGCCCCATGATCCCAAAAGTAGACCCTAAAGCCCTATATCCTTAACCCTTTGCGCCGAACCAGAACCACAGGGTTTAGATCAACAAGGCTTATATGAAAGGAACCCAAAATCTTATTTTTGTATGTGGTTGGCTTTATTTGTGTTTAAAAGTGTTTTCTTGCATTTAAAAGTGGTGTTTTGTATTTAAAAGTTTTTTAAATATGTTTTTTGTGTTTTACAGTTGTTAAATTTTTTTAATTTTATTTTTGGTGTAAAAAAATACATGTTTGTGAATTATGAGTTTTTGTTTCTGATTGAGTCAAATGGCTTCCTGTTGTTCTACCTGGTTTCCTGCAGCTGTACGTCTACAATTTTTTATTTGTTTTTGAAGTGCTTATTTCATCAATATAAATATTTTTGGTTGTGATTGAGTCAAATGATAAATGGCATCCTGCTGTTCAACCTGGCTTCCTGCTGTTCTACGTCTACAAATTTGTTTGTATTTGTTTTTAAAGTAGTTTATCAATTTAAGTTGGGGGTTGTGATCGAGTCTAAGGGTTTAGGGTTTCCTTGAAATGCCGACCTTCCCCACATGGATTCGAGCGGTGCAGTGGTGTGTCGTACAGTAGTAGTACAAGTAATAGCACAGTAGTAATGCAGTAGTACAAGAGTAGTACCATATTTAGTAGTACAGTAGCAGTGCAATAGCAATACAGAAGTACAGTAGTAAGAGGGTAGTAGTAAAGTGGTAGTACAGTAGGGGTACATTACAAGGGTGTGGGAGTACCTGGAGCTGTTTAGCAGGGTGTGGGCACGACCAAAGTCCAAACCACGATCACTCCAAGATACCAACACTAAAACCTTTTATGTTGAGAACTTTTTCGTCCGGCCTACACTCCTGTACAGCAGTGCATTAGTATTGCAATAGTACAGTAGTAGGACAGTCGTAGAAGAGAAATACATAAAATCAGTCGGCCCAACAAAGAACGCACTAATCATTAATTAGGCCACCATTTTTTTGATACAGCCCGAATAAGCACGGGAAACACGCATCAACTAGGCACACCGGACCAGAAGCACCCCCACATTAACCTGTATTAGTGGTGTGATGCTATTAGTCAATTTCAGTATTCGCATGCGTTTGGCATGTTGCTACTTGTTTGTGTTTGCTTGGTGACTGTTTTGTGCAAGTCTGTTGTTGCGTGTCTTGGCTCAAAACTTCTTCGCAAAAAAGCGAATCACAACGTCGCCTCCTGCTTGGAAGCAAAACAAGATATAGAAAACCTGGCTCAGTCTGGTCAAGTTTGTTTCGGTAATGTTTTTTTCAAAAAAGGAGAGCCCAAATTTAGGAAAAGGGAAAAGCAATCCACACTGGGGTGATTGAGCCGGGGACCGGCCATCCGCCCCCAGCCCAGCCCAATTCCAAGATGCCGCATCGTCAGCCCAGCCAGCCCACCCCCACCCCAGCCGACCCCCCCCCACCCGACCCACCCCCTACTTTCGGGGGACACCCATTGCGATTTGATGATTTTGGTTTGGGGACAGGCACCGGACACCCCTTGCGAGCTGCGAGTTTTTGGACAGCCGTAGGGGGAGCCCTTGCGGTTCATGATTTGGGAACCTATTTTTTAATACAACCTGCAGGGAGACACTCTTTGCGATCCGTGATTTTGGGATCCG